AACTGTGTATCGGAAATTCTAAAGATACGCTCATTTTAAAATTATTTTGCGTTGAACTGAATTTTAGGGTTTAAGTGCAAAGGACATTGTATTTAATAAATAAATGTAACACACAGAGCGTTAAAAAAACGGCCCTTTGGACGTAATTTAAAATCACCTTCAGGTTTTATTTTAATACTTAAACTAATATTCGCATATTTTTTATCTTTTTGCCTTCGGATATAAAGGAAAACAATCATCCATGTTAATATTTCTCGAAACTTATAGCATAATGTCATGAAATGTGTTGTATTTTTAAAAAAAATTTTTGATATTTTTAGTTATGACAATTCCTAAAAATGATGGACTTTTATTAGATTAATTCTTCACAGCATTATGGTCCTAAGTGATGATGAGATCGCATTTATAAATCAAACAAAATGTAAATGAATTAAATGGAATGGAGCTACGATTATGGGAAAAAAATCCGAACGATTTCATATTTTAAAGGTTGCCCAAAAGGGTTTGTTAAGATTTTTTACGCTTTCGTTGAGCTTGCAGTCTACCAGTCTGTTGTTGCACTGACTCCTAGTAACTTCTTTTTACCCATTTTGTTTTTGCTCTTTTTAGCTTTATTATTAAGCATCATTTGCTTCGCAATTCGGCATACACAATTCAACAGCAAAATTACAAAAATTTTAAACGCGACTATTTCTAATGAGACTGACGGAAGAAGTAGAAATACAGAGAGGAATTAACATAAAAATTGACGTGCTGATTAAAATAAACGTATAAGGTATTTTCTCTCTCCTTCCAACATGCCTTCGTGGTCTAACGGTAGCACACTTGGCGCGAAATCGAGAGGTTCCATGTTAAATCTCGGCGAAGGCATTGAACATTTTTCGCGTCTCCTGCCTCAAAATAACCTAATGACTCTACAATGGAGCCCCAACTAAAAGGTAGTGGACCAAAATTCGTCACTACCAGGATTTGGAGAATGCTTCCCCTAATCCCCAGTCGCCTTTAAAAAAAAAGATAGAATACAAGGTATCATGATCAGTAGTGGGCGCAGCCCTACCCGCCTAACCAAACAAGTTGATCTTATGGTCATGACAGGCCCCGCCTATTTCAAATACAAGAATATAGAAAATACAAGGTATTTTCTCCCTCCTTCTAGCATGCCTTCGTGGTGTAACAATAGCACAGTCGAGGCGTATTCGCGAGGTCCAGGTTCGAGTCCCGGCGAAGGTATTGCACAGTTTTCACGTCTCCTGCTTCAAAATAACCTATCGACTCTACGAACTTTACATTTATCCCAAAGTAAAATTGGAATGATTGAGATGATATTTTGCAGTAACACACAAATCGCAATCGCTTTCCTATATAACACACCACATTTCTTCGATACTGAGCAGGACTCAGTTATAAGACACGCCGATTAATTTTAGTATTACTTGAAAAAATTCTGCATTAATAAAATAAAATATTTTGTTTAATTCATTTAGTAAATATTCCCATCAATTAAAATTCATCGAGCCAATTTTCATCTTCAAATTTAATTTCGTACATTTTTAGGGTCTGTGAGGCGGGCGGCATCAGCGGGCTTTAAGAGCAGCATGTGATAGTAAATACATCTGAATTGGATCAGAATAGAGGAGGAACTATGAAGGGGAAAAAATATTGAAAATGCTTAGCATAATGAATTCTCATTACAATGAATGAAAGATTAATGAAAAACTACGAAACAAATCGTCGGCACCACGCCAGATATGCGAGCATGCAAAATCTCTGTTTCGAGAAAAACTTTTTTAAATGTTTGTCCCGTGCTTGGCTTTGAAAAAAAATCTGTTATGACTCCTCCATACTAGTTATTTTAGATGCATCTCAGAAAACAGGAATCCACAAACAACAACCTATAAAAGAAAATAACAAATACGTATTGCAATTTTGACGAATCACTAACTTGATGCTGTAAGGTAAAAAGCTCTCTTAGATATCATAAAGCAAACTGGATCTTACGAGGAAACCTGGCGAATTCTCGCACAGGCGTGAATAATACCAACACAGAAGGAGGGTAAAATAAATCCTTTATTATTCGTCAAACTCTTAACTTAAAAGCACATACTTCGCGCTTACAATAACACCGACGACTTGCGGTGGAACTTAAGAATAATAAGAAAGTCAAAGATAAAGAGTAGTGCTTGACTAACAATTTAAATTTAAGGCTTTCGCCGGGTAGGTTGTTGGAGTACCCGGCGATAGACTTATTAAAAGGCCAAAAAGGCGTATCAGCGACTCAGCGTAACAGCAAGGACTAAATAGTAACATGCGCTGGCGAGCGAAATCACTCTCTGAATAAACTACAAAATTCGTCCGTTTAAACACTCACTTCACTTAACTTTAAATTTTCATCCTGGTGAGGAAATGCGAGGGGAAAATGAGAGGTTCAGGAAAGGTACCAAGCCTAAAATAATTTGTTACACAAACTAAGGGAAACCCTACAATGCTGTTACCCATCATTCTGTTTTCCGGAAAATAGTTGATTCAAGTAAAAGCTAGAAGAACGTCATCAGATAATGTTTTCTTTCAACTGGCAACCCACAACAGTATAAAAAGACACCTATTTCAGGTAACGAATTCGCTGTCAATGAGATGTGCTGCATTAATCAGCAAAAAAACATGAGGAAAACCCTCTCAGCATGAATGATTTCCACAGCTGATTCCTAAAAAATCAGAGACAGATATACGAGTAATTAGTAACCTGGGAAATCCTAATATATTATGAATCATTTCTTGCTGAAGGTCGGGAGGCACGGGGTCATTGCACGCGGCTATTTCATAAGTGGCCTTCCCTCATGTCGCAAAATATTATTCTGAAGGAGGCACGCGATAAATATGCTAGAAGTATATTTGTTATTAATTAAAATGATACTACAAAGGTCCATAAAATTATTAGACGAAGGTATTATAAATTAAATACCTTAAAAAAGTATATCAACAGCTATATTATAAGCCGAAGATGACAGAAAACCGATGGTTACCAGTGACTTACGAATTGATAGTGTGGGTGACTACAATAAATTTAAATAGCTTATTAAAATAAAATTAACCCAAAGGACAAAGACAACCGCTAAGGCCGTTACTGTTAATAACCTGTGTTTTGACAGCACCTCAGGCGTTATGTAATGTTCCGTGCATTTAATCAAGCCACGTAGATAAAAAAAGTGTATGTAAACATGGGGAATCAATATATTTAATCCAACAGACTGTGGCAACAGCGCAGAAAGCCACTATGCAGATAAACGCTCTTTTGAAAGGAATTTTAATTTATTTTAAATAAAGATTATTTTAGAATAGGAGAAATTAATGTAATTGCTTATCAGTACTGTTATGTTACAAATCCATATATTTGAATCCATTCAAAATACAACTAATCAAGATAACTGATTTGACGCTTTTTCTGTGTACTAACTATGTCTTTAATGGCAGTTTGTCTTTCAACTGTGTTCGGTGGAGTTTTAGAGTTCCATACAACTCCTTTACGGATTTCTTAAGCGAAAATCAAACTTTAAATGAAATTTTTAATACAGCATGAATTGCAAAAGTAACCATTTATCACAAAATGTTTTTTCTGAATAAAATGGTAGCGAATAATAATTTCCGTTTGATTGTGCACATAAAGTTCATACATCAGTGATTTTCTTCCCAAGGCCATTTTTTTAAATTAATTTTTCCAAGGTTTATAAAGATACCATCAAATGAAATTACAGTTGTAATAGGAGTACGTAAAGGCGACAAAATTTTAAGACGTAAGTTTGCTGTAATGCAATTCTTTCTGTCATGCCAAATGAGTAAATTTTATTACTTCGATACTGAAGTTAGAAACATACTCAACAGAATCGTTCCAAAATTTTTTGACAGTTGTGTTATGTTAGTTTGTATTAACATGCATTTATAAACCATATGCCTTCACAAAAATGGTGAGAGTGTGAAACAATCAAGTTTTGTTTACGGCCTAGCAAACAACCAGTTCTTAGAGTGCAACGTTCCGTGTAGTGTAGTTTACCTTTCTAATTTAATAATTTTGTAACTGCTTAACGATTTAAAAGCAATAAAATAATTTTTTATTAATATTCCATATCAACGAAAACTCTTCTTGATATTTTCGGAATGGCTAGCGTTATTTAGCTTACCAGGCTTTTTAGCCAAAGTTGCCCGAGGGGCTACTTGCCGAAAAAGAGAGATGTCCTCGGGCAACGTTTTAAGCGAAATCCGGCTTGCATACAGCGAAATTCACAGTACATATGTGGAAAACACGAAGTCTCCCATGCAGTCAGCTCAGTTTCGGTTTGACTGCTTATGGCAAAGTACACTAGGGACATCTGCGTAACAGAAAGAATGCCTTTGTGGAGGACTTTCTAAGGGAAACTGGCTTGTACACATAGGCAAAACGATCAGTCAGCTCATTTGTCAGGATTTCAACCTGAGTGTTCAGCGCTCTTCTCGATAGGCTGATATTTTCAGAAGTTCTGAATCTGCTAGAAACAGTTGAAGTATCTAGTGTTTTATTTTGACTTATCAAGAATACGCCTTCCCCTTTTTTAATAGCTTCAAAACAGCGTTATAATATTATGTGAATAACCTTTGAATGAAGATTAAATGATTAGAAGAAAACTATAGACACAAGGAAGCAAGCACAAGGAAAAACGAGTGTTCTTTACATTCTCTCCCATTTAAAGGTCTATTGGAGAAAGGCATGCGACTCAGTAGAACGAATCCATGCGGTGAAGAGTTATCGTCCTCAACATTCCGTTTTTTAAGCCTGGTAAAATAAATAATATTCGTTTCCACCACTGGGATTCGAAATACGTATCTTTCAATTGCTGGCTGGCTGTACTAACTATTTACACTACGACAGCACTCAAAGGGAAACTAATTGATTAGTGTTAGACGGTATAAGATGAGCAATAATCTGGTTAAATAAATCCATGAAACGCTTATTCTTCATCGAATGTACTTACTCTGAGATGTCTCCATGACCAATGATCTTGATGTTTGGATTCGTTGCTGCTAAGGAAAGAGCCAGAGATCAAAATGGAAGCTTCACTGCTACGTTCCAGGCTCTTCCGGGCTAAGAGATCTAAGCCCGCCATTCCTGATCTAAAAAAAAGCAAATGAAGAGACCCTTGTGAGACAGATATACATATGTAAGATAGTTAAAATATTAGCCAGAAATTTTTTTATTAGGAGATGCAAAAGTTCGTAGCGTTCTCGATGGAACGCTACGAATTTTTATTACGTACTTATTAATTTTTATTACGTACTTAAATAATTAAGTGAAAGAAATACTCAGCTGGTAAAATGAAACGGGTTATTGTGAATTTGCTTTAAGGATGGGCAAGGAGTGCTGATTTTTTTCATTGGGCTTAAATACTCTTTCATCTTCCTGACGCGGTTACAGCCGAAAACATCGCGGCAAAATCACCGCGGACGAAAACGTCGCGGAGAAAACAACGCAAGGCGAAAACGTCGTGGGAGAAAACATCGCAAAGAGAAAACATCTCAGTTTTAAAACATCGTGGTACAAAACATCGTCGTCGAAAATACAGCGTTCAAAAACTTCGCAGTTTAAAAACATCGTCGTCGACAATATCGTGGTAAAAATAAAGTATCTACAATCATCGCATGACGATAACATCGCACATGCTTTTTTGCGGCTTTAATAACTGTAATTATATTCCCATAATGATTTGTGAGCGCAAGATGTAAAGAAGGATCATTTTACTTTCACATTTTTTTTATTAACTAATAAATTTTTGCTGAAATGTAAGAAGGAAACTTAAGAATGAAAATTAAATGTAACTATAGATTATACTTTCATGAAAAATTAACAGTAAAAACTTTATAAATGATTTATTAATGGCCTTTGTTAGTTAACCATGTCAGTTTAAAATTCTTTAAGTGCTATAAGTTGCAATAATTTTCTATGCTTAAGTTTCCTTCTTATTTTCAACAAAAATTTATTAGGTACTAAAAATATGAAGAAAAAATTATCTTTCTTTCCATCTTGCACTCACAAATCATTATGGCTAATATCCATTCACAGTTATTAAAGCCGGAAAAACGCATGTCTGCCATGTTATCGTCATGCTATGATTTGTAGGTACTTTTACCAAGATATTTTCGACGACGATGTTTTCAAACTGCGAAATTTTTGAACCGCTTCGTTTTCAACGACGATATTTTATACTAGGATGTTTTCTCTTTGCTTTATATTCTCCCACGATATTTTGTGCCACAACGTTTTCGCCTTGCGTTGTTTTCTCCGCGACGTTTTCGTCCGCGATATTTTTACCGCGATGTTATCGGCGAACACCTCCTGACGCTGATATGTGGATATTATATTCCACCACCAAGTTTATGCTCTCAAGGAAAAATCGGTATTGATCACAAGCCAACTGTTAATAGGTGCACTAAGACGCTCAATATAGTTTCAGGTTGCTTTTTGTTAGTGTAACTTAACACATGGGGTATACATGGAACCAATTTTTGCACATTACCCATTGAATACAAATAGTTCACAAAGGTTGAATAGTAACATTCTCTAAGTTGCGCACATTTATTGCCACGTTGTTTAATGGGGATTCTTATGAAGATACTAAATCTTCGTCCAGATCTGACGAAGAAGCGATCTTCATCATTCAAGAACACCGTTAGATTTTAAAGGAACAATCTTCATCAGATTCTAACGATCTTCCTTAAAGTGCACCATTAGGTACATCAAATCGCTTTCCTGGAAAGTGCAGGAACCATTTCCTTGTTGTATTTTTAGTAATAACGTTAGTTCCTTTAAACAGCATGAACTATTTTTGCCGCTTTTGTTGCACTTCATCATTTAGTAGAAATGGGTGATATCCAAAACTTTCTTAACTTACAAAAATTACACTGTGTTATAAAAATATAGAGCAAAATCTTCCCAAAATTTTCGGATCATTACGCTACCAAGCTTTGATCATTCATGCAAATGGACAAATGCGAAAGGAAAACCCAGAATTTATCGTCCGAATGGCATAACAAGTAGCCATTTTAAATAGTATTTTATTTCAGCGTATTATAAGCTATTTAATTAATTTTTTTAATTTAATTATCTGTAATGGTTAAATACAATAAACTGACCAATTTGAAATCAACAAATGTCTTTCTTAATAATTTAAAATATTTATTTACTCTATAATATATTTAATTACAATATGTGAATATATTTATTTTATTTATGTTTTTAAAAATTGATAAGTTTAGCTCCCATAATTTAAATACATTTAGTATAAGTTATAGTTAAGAATTTAATAAAATCTAAGCTTATGTTGCTAAAAATATGATTGTAACTGATGCACTGAGTAAATAGAATATCTAGTAATCTTTATAAGACTTAAATGTGATTTTTCTTTTTGGCATTTTAAATAAAATACTAGTAAAATTAACAGTTTAATTTATTTTAAATTTAAACGCTTATTATATCATAAAATTAACAAACGTTTTATAAATATCCTCTAAAAATTTCATACTATAATAAAATCACTTACTTGCGATTAGAAAATTCCGAAAAACTTCAATTTTTCCTGCATTTCATCGGAAGTTCAGTGGAATACAAAAATGGAAATAATATCGGTGTTCAGGAAAACGAGAACTCCCTCAGAGATCGTCCGAAGATCTCGGGAACGCGATGCCAGGGCGTAAAAGTGAAACTGAGAAGAATGAACGGCGAGAAACCCTTTCGATACGATATAGATAGATCTTTTCCACACGATAAAGATATCACCGATGACGTCGCATCTTCCCTTGGCAACCTTAGGAGGGATAAAACTCGCTTGTGTCAAATTGCTCTATTATGTTGCGAGTAAAAATGTAAGCAAAGTGTTAACAGACAGCGATAACAAATTGCTGTTTACTCAAAGCTTAAAGATTTAAAGCTTCCCCGATTCTTTTATAATGGCAAAAATGCAAATACGTAAAGTTTTTCATCATTGTAAATTTTTCCAATAAAAATTTATAAGCACTATTAAAACTTGCAATAAAAATCAGATATATGATAAATAAAAAATATAACAAAAATTAAAGTTTTTTTTTTCCTTTTGATATTAAAAATATACTTAGGGACTTCTTAAAAAATATTCGATCCTGCGTACGTTACGCTAACCATAAATGTTTCACTTGAAAACTGCAGTAAATATTTTTAATAAATTATTTATTATTTAATAAATTATTTAATAAATTCTTTTAACTGTAATAAATATTAAATAAAATACTCTCCTCTAAATATTTTTCGTCGTAGTAGATATCTCTGGAGTAATACATTTTACTGTATGAAATGACTTAATAATTCAGTATTTTCGCTTTAAAGTTACTTAAAAAGAAAATACATATCACCTTTCTGTACGTTTGATTTTCGCGGTTTCAGTTTATTACGGGTTGAATAAAGTACACACCATCTCCATAAATGTCCTTAGAAGGGGTTTATTAAACCGTTAGTCGTAGACATATGCTTCCAGTTACAAAGAGGTTTTAAAGAAATTCTCTCAAACTGGCAGTCGCGAAGACATTTCAGTTAAGAATTTGTTGCAAATACAGTGTCACAATTATTTCAAGATTTTAATTATTTGAAATCCGATTTTACATTAATTTAAACTAACGTGATTAAAAACTAACGTGAATAACACTGAAAAATGAGCAATGCCTTTGCCGGGAATCATACCACGGACCTCCGGAATACGCGCCCAGCATGCAGACCACTTCACTACGAAGGCACGCTAAGAAGGCGGGAGAAATACCTTACATATTCCCCCTTTTTAAAGGGCGCCTGGAGTTTTAGGGGACCCAAACGCCAAATCATGGGTGTGGAGAATCATCATCCCTTTTAGTTCGGGCGCCACTGTAGAAACATTAGGTAATTTGGAAGCAGGAAAGATGAAAAATGAAAAACGCCCTCGCTGGGAATCGAACCACGGACTTCTGGAATACGCGCTAAGAAGGCAGGAAAAATACCCTGTAAGTGAAGCTAAATAATTAACAGTATGATAAAAACTTTTATTAAAGATGTAAAACTACATATTTTATTAACTTCTATTCGTATTTGTAAAAAAACTAAATACCAGTTACGAATTTTTGCGCTAAGAATAATCGCTTTGTTCCAGAATACATTTATACGTGAACAGCCTTTTTGTCACAGTTAAAAATTAATAAGAAAAAAATTCGATTAGCCAATGAACATCTATAATCCGTAATGAAGATATTAATCCGAAGTTACAAATTTTATCAAAATCGAAAAGCGGTCAAACATCAAGCCGTAATAAGAAATAAAGGAAATTCATAATTATTTAATATATGTATTTTTATTTATGCGTCAAAAAAATTAAAAAATTTTCTGTAAGTTTAAATAAATAAAAGTAAGTTATTAAAAAATTAATTAAACTTCTTGCAACTATTTTAAATAAACATCAATCTGAAAATTCAATATTTAGCTGTCAATATTACAAAGTATAACCAACAAATATATCTTGAGGTTCAAATAGAGCATAAATATAAGTTTTTGAATTTTTTCCTTTGCGATATCATTTTGACTGTTTATGTATGTCTTGAAAATTACTAAGAAAGCGAGATTTGAAATTTATTAGCCCAAAAGAAGCGTTAGCCCAGAATGGTCATTAGGGGTTCATTCAAAACGTAATTTTTGTTGAATCACTTTTCAAATTGTTGCCACCAAATATTATCGCCCTGTATTATATTTCATGAAATTAAGAAGAATCTACAGGAATATATCCATGTTTTTCGCATTGTGAAAAAATAATGATACCTAGTGCCATTAAATTTTGAAAAACGTACTCCTCCACCCGAATATGGACAACTGGAAGCCCAAATTTTGAATTTCAAATTTGTTTAATTGTGTATTTCAAATTTTCTAAAACTTTAACGAATTTTTCATTAGAAAAATAAACGATTTCAAAGCGAGCAATGGCAACACTATAAGGGAAAAAACAATTATTATCTCCAGTGCGCGATACTCTTTATCGGAAATTCTAAAGATAGGTTGTTTTAAATATTTTCAGTCCAAAGGAACATTAGCCCAAATGCTCTCGAAACATGTATGTGTATTTAAAGAAAAA